CACAAAATGGAACATCCTTAAGTGCAATAAGGATGTGTCCCTTAAGCTCGAATGTGGCAGTGGTAGGAATCGCGAGTTGTACTAACCCTGGACCAACGTTGTCTCGAATTCGCTTCTTGTAAGCTCCCATTGACATCTCTTCAATGTTCTCCATCTCGTTTCTTGGCTCGTCTTCGGGTTCGCTCGTATATAGTCCAAACTCGGCCTCATATTCGTATTAAGATTCGTTTGGATTAGGAATTAGATCTAAACTTTCTATCTTGCTCTTGTCCTTTGAAGATGAACTCGACTCTCCCGTTTTCTTTTTGATAGGTGCATTTTATGCACCTATTTTGCATCTTTATTTCCGTCTTTTTATAGCATTCTACTTCATAATTCTAGCATTTAGTTGATTATTAGGGCAATTGCATATTTCATTAAGAATGTCTGGTACTTCACTATTTTTGATTTATTTTGCAGGCATTATGGAGCATGGTACATGGAGCTTGGATGCATGGATGCTTGGAGCTTGGAGCTTTGGAACATGAAGAGAAGATGAACCGAGTCATTGTTGCATTATCATCATAGCAAAGGACTACGTTTGAAATGTGGTTCTTGTTACACTGACATGGGTCGTGTTTGTCCTTTATCATCTCATATTTGAGCAACATGACTCGTGGTGAAGCTAGATTGAAGATGGAGTCAACAATGAAGACTTTTTGGAATTTTAGCAAAAAGCATGGGTCATGCCAAAAACACATGGTCAAGACAAATGGCCATGCCAAAAACACATGGGCAAAAGGCATGGCCATGCCAAAAATGCATGGCCTCATGGCATGCACATGAACTTCAATAAAAGACACGAGAAGATGTCATTTGAAAAGAGAACGATTTTTGGGAGCAGTTCGGGCGATTCTAGGAGAATTCTTGTAGCTTTTGAGAAGACCAAATCATTGCAAACATTTTGGATTTCATTTTAGTAAGCATTAAACATTTCAATTCCATCATTTTTCTTGTTTGATTTGTTCTTAGCCATGTGTGGCTAAGAAAGCCTAGTTTCTAGTTCTTGTTCAAAGCATGTTGATTGCTTGACTTGAAGCATATGATTTGTGATTCTATTCTAGTTATTATGTTTTTGTTTAAACTAGAACCCTTAAATTTGATTTGTATTTGATTAGCCACTTTCATGAATTGAATTTTTGTGCAGTTAATTAACTTTTAGGGCACCTAATCGTTCTATTAAGTTAATAATTGGTAACAAGCAATAAGTTTTCTTATTGTAAAACATATATCACATGTTTTTACACTGTCGAGCGTATGAGAAGAAATGAACATTGTTGGGAAGCTTCTACAAAACTTAATGCAGTTTTTCAATACAATCTAAGAGCGTGTTTAGGTTGAATTAGTAAAGCTAGGTCTAGTTAAAGAGTGTGGTTTGGTTAGATAATTTGGCAAGCGAGAGGTATTAGAGCGAGTTAATATCTTTCAGTACTGACTTAGAATAGCAATCATGAATTACATCAAGTCATAATCAAGTTGAACAGCAACATTGAGAACTAGAAGTGGAAGCACTTTTACAATTTGTGTACAAATCTGTTTTATTTTGTGCATGTTTTTAAAGTAGATTGTTATTTTTTATTATTTGACTTTTGCAAACAAAACCCCTATTTGTGACCAAAGTACCTTGTGCAAAAAAGGTATAGACTTTTGTCCCGTGTCTCTATGGTTCGACCCTGCTTGCCTTTTACTACTTTTTAGTGCATTAAAGCGGTGTATTTGGAGTCTATTGTACCCATTTATTTGTTGGGTTTGACACGCCTAACACTTTCCGAACTTCTATGTAAAGACAAATTTGAGATCTTGGAAAGGTTTATTCTTTGGTGTTTGGTTCACTTCTGCGTTCTTATCCGTCTTCTTGTGAAGGGCTGACTCTGGATCTTCAAGTGGTGGCACCAAAGGTGTGTTGGAACCTCTGGTCATGAACTTCTGCAAAATAAACAAAAATAAAAACGTAAATCTGAACTAAAATTAACTAAAAATAACTTACTAACTGGCCACCACGACGTGGTAAAGGTCACCACCTCGTGTTGTTGTAGAAAAAGTAACAGAAAAGAAAAACGAAGAAAACGTAAAATCTACTGAACTCACGCCGTGAGCTTAAGGCTCACGTCGTGAGTTGGGTACTGGAATAAAAATTAAGTTGAAAAGTAACTTTTTGCAGGTTTTACCCAATAAAAAGGTTTGATTAACCTAAAGCAAATAAATCAACTAACAATCAAGCCGTTCCCCGACAATGATGCCAAAAACTTGATGCATGCAAATAGCTACACCTAATTTTATATTTATAACCTAACTAACTTAACTAACTAAAATGCACCTAGGTAGTGTACCTCGTTAAATTATAGAATAGTAGGGTAAGTCGGTGTCGATCACAGGGAACGGTATTGACTAATTAATCTATTTACTACTACGTTAACCTAATTACTAACAAAGAAATAGGATTTATCTAATTTTGCAAGTTTAGATAAACTTAATTATTTAACACAAATTCAATCAGTAAATAAACCACTTCTATTAGTTCAAATCCACTTTCTCTCAATGATTTATAAATTAGCTATGTCAATTACTGTTGGTTGCCAATTAAGATAATATTAGGAATTTAGTTCTAAATATACTAACATTAATTAATTCATGTAAATCAAAGTATGTTCACACTTAAGTTAACACAGAATCAATTATTCGATGGATTAGAGCTATGTAAGATTGATTAACAAAACACAATTATTTTCATAATTTGAGTTTTCTAGCACAGCCTAATTCAATAATTAATTGCTTAATTAAGATTGGTTTGATCCTAAATCTAATAATTTAATATTCACTAAATTACCAGGTATTCTAATTCATGTAAATTCATGGTCATGAACTACACAGACGAAGGAATCAAAGCAATCAATTACTAAATTAAACATGCTAGGTTCAATCAACCAAACACGAGTTTTAACCAACAAGTAACTCAAAGCTAAAGTATCACACCATGAGTTCCAGCTTCATCTAGCTAACAGTGCAACTAGATTTAGCTGAACATACTAGCTAAAAAACACAAATAACTCATATTTAAAGACATGTTTAAAGTGTACTAAATTATTAAACTAATATGAACTTCTCCTCTCCTTTGATGCTAATAGCCAATTCCAGAACTTTTCTCCTTTTGAAAATCGTCTCCAGAAACCCTCAAGGCAGCAAAAAAGTCTCCCAAGTCGTAATGAGCAAGAGTATATATAGTTTTTGATTTTTCTTAACACACGTCGTGAATGGATAAGTCTCACGAAGTCAATAGTAGATTTCCGTGTTGGCTAAGGACTCTTCTTCACGATGTCTATCTTCTGGAAGATTCGTGTTCACGTTGTGAATCTATAAGCCTCACGATGTGAAGTCACCAGATTACGTAAGCTTCTTTCTTCTTTTATTCTCCAATCCTCCAAAGTTCCATGTTTTGTCATTTTTAGTCATTTTTCTCAAAAATGCTTCTACTTGGCTGCAAAGAACAATTTATCTTCATAAATACCATTATTGAATGCAAATAACCAAAATATTAATAAAAATATAAGTAAATATTGCCTAAAAACATGTATAAATATAGCCAAATCACCTACTCAACATAGCCAATGGACTTCATCATGTTGTGAGTATCATGAACACATAACTCACCAATGTTAACTAGATCAAAATATTTTTCTTTTCCATTGGCTTCTCTCTTTTCCAGGAAACATCTAAAACTTTCCATCATAGAATAACGATGGAGAAGATTGTGGAAATGACCAATTGTAAAGGAGAAAGATTCAGGTTACTTAGTGAAAATGTGTGTTTTAGATGAAATTATTAAGCATAAAAATGATTACCATAATGTTTTTTAATGTCGATTTGACCAATGTTTTCTTTAATCCTCCAACGCACCATTGTTGCTTTGATGAATCTTGAAGAACGTCGAGAAGGTAGGGTTTCTTGAACTTTAATAAGTTCAGAGTTTTTTTTTTTTTTTTTTTTTTTTTTTTTTTTTTTTAAATTGATAGAAACAAGCGAATGATTGAGACGAGGATAAAACATTTGGCATAACCATTTAAGTGTCATATATAAAATGAGGAAAATACCCCATATGTCATGCGGGTGCACTAAACGGATGAGGTTGACGGTTATCGGATGCAAGACTAGACACGTAATAAAAACAGAAGGGAAACATAGTGTGTATGAAAAAAAAAAAAAAAAGAATTAGAGACCAAACATGCAACATTTCCAAACCACATGGTCAATTTCAGGAACTGTTCCAGAATAAATTCAAATATATCATTAAGAGAAACTATTTTTTATGTATATACTTTTATAAATTTATTTCAATACCATGCTATATTTTTTTATCACAAAATATATTTTTATATCATTATAATTTTTTTTTTCTTTTATATGAATACTTTTTATAAATAATTCATGGTGTTCATTTTGATTTTATATCATAAGTTTTATTACGTTATATTCGGTATATAAATCTGAATGTCATTCAATATGGTATTTTTATATCATTATAAAATGCGTTTCTTCATCTATATTACTACAGAGTATGTTGTTTATATTATTTAATAATTTGTATTGTTTTATATACCATACTATTTTACAAAGGGTTCAAATTATCAAAAAGTTAATAAATTATATGTTTTTATTTTTTAATGATATCTTAAATAGCATTTTATCATGAAACTGATTACATCATTACATGCCTGCAAACTTTCCACTTCAGCATCCATGCAACCTCTATTTTTTAAAGATTTGATTGGGGTTCACGGCAGAGACTCCTTTGTAGTTTCTAGGAAAAAACTTTAAAACTCCGTCCATGATCAAAGTCAACAAGTCAACTCACCCTCGTCATACGAAATTACTATAAAAACCCCTAATCACACCTACGATGAACGCTAACCCTTGATTTCCACATCCTTACCAAATCCCCTAAATCCCAACCCTCGATTTCCAAAATGTCTTCGTCAACAACAACTGAATCCAGAATCGCCATGGCCAAAACAGTCGTATCCACTATCGGTTCTGTCGCCGCGGCGGCAATGGTGGTTCGCAGCGTCGCACGCGATTACTTACCTCCTGAATTCCAAGACTACCTCCATTTGGGGTTCCGGAATTTCATCAACAAGTTCTCCACACAGATAACCATGGTGATCTACGAATTCGACGGGTTTGCAGAAAATGAAATCTACAAGGCCACAGAGTTTTACCTTTCCTCCCGAATTTCTCCTCAGATCCACCGTATGAAGCTCACCAAGCGCGCTAACGAGAAAGACATTAAGGTCGCCATGGAAACCAACGAAGAGTTCACTGATATCTACAACGGAGTCAAATTCAAGTGGTGTTTGGTGTCTAATAAGGCGCCGACGAGAGAACATTACCGGAACGATGGTATGAACAGATCTACCGGATCCGATGTTCGAATGCTTGAACTCACATTTCATCGGAAACACAAGGATCTAGCTTTGAAGGATTACCTCCCGTTTATAATTAATGACTCGAAAACGAGGAAACAAGAAGAGAAAAGCGTGAAACTATTCACTGTAGATACGATGATGGTGCGTTCCGGCTGTCCGTCGATGTGGGCGCCGGTGAATCTAGATCATCCGGCGAATTTTGCGACGCTGGCGATGGATACAGATGTTAAGGAGAATGTGATGAAGGATTTAGATCGGTTTATAGAGAGAAGAGAATACTATCGGAAAGTTGGAAAAGCATGGAAGAGAGGCTACCTGTTGTATGGTCCGCCGGGTACCGGAAAATCAAGCTTGATCGCCGCCATGGCCAATTACTTGAATTTTGACATCTATGACTTGGAGTTGACTGATGTAAGGTCAAACTCGGAGCTCCGGAAGTTGTTGGTGTCGACTGCTAATCGGTCGATACTGGTGGTGGAGGACATCGATTGCTCGGTGGAATTGCACGATCGTGTGACTGCAGAACCACCGAGATCTACTCGACGAAATCAAGGATGGGGTTACCATGACGAACGCAAGGTTAGTAATATTTAATATTTATAAAAATTCAGATATATTTAATTTTATATCACTAGATTAACTTTTTATGTCTTAAATAAATTGATGGGAATAAATTGAAAATTATGGTTTGGTTATATCAATTTATAAGAAAATAAAAAATAATAATTTATTATAACTTTTTTAATTTAAATAAATAAATAAAAGAAATAAATGACTTTTAATTTTAATAATTTAGAAATCAAAAAATAAATTGATTAATGAAATTTATATATATTTATTAATACATTTATTGTAATTATTATATTAAAATATTATTTGAAATTTAATAAAATAGAAAAACTCATAAAATAACATGTAGAAAAAAAAAATCAACATAACCACAAAATAATATTTGGCAAATTGAATGTAAATGTGACAAATGATTAAAAAAAAAAAAAAAACTTTCATTTCTTAGAATAGATTAATAATTTGATAAGTTTATAAATCTATATTTTTTTTTTCAGGTAACATTGTCTGGATTTCTCAATTTTATTGATGGATTGTGGTCGAGTTGTGGTGACGAAAGGATAATCATATTTACCACAAACAGAAAAGACAAACTTGACCCTGCACTCCTTCGTCCCGGTCGTATGGACATTCACATCAACATGTCATACTGCACTCCGTGTGGGTTTCGTCTACTGGCCTCTAACTACCTTGGGATCAGTGAGCACAGTCTTTTTAAAGAAATCGAAGATTTAATTGTTAAGGTGGAGATCACTCCGGCTGAAGTAGCAGAGCAACTATTGAAGGATAGTGATCCTGACATTGCTCTTACTGGCCTCATTGATTTTTTCGATGTGAAGTATAAGGAGAATGAAGAGGCAAAAGCAAAGGCAAAGGCAAAGGAAGAAGAATGTGCAAACATTAAGGTAGAGGAAGAAGAAGAATCGGTTGCAAAAGAGAATGGCAAGAAGAAACAAATTGATATGAATGGAACTACTTAGTATCTGTAATCCGCGATTAGAAAACTCATCAAGGGATGGATATAGCTATACACCCTATCCGTCACTAAATATGTAGAATTAGCAATGGATTGACGACCTAGGAGGGAATGAAAATGTGACAATAAATTAGCAACAGAAAGGGTCCCTATGCAATTGTCTTTATTGTCGTACATTATGCTGTGAATGTGTCATTGTGTATTTATTATACCATAAGTTGTAGACAAAAAAGATGGGCTTAGTTCGAGAACTTGAATCAAATGCAAAAAAAAATAATTTTTTTTTATCATTTAATATACCAATTGAAATGAAGTTAATTGATTCATTTCTGATGATAATTCGTAGATCTATCGTAATGTTGTTTAAAACTAATATCTATATACAGATATTAATTCATGCGTGAGTTTTAATGGGCAAATATAGCGGTGGATAATACAAACCGGACTATTTAAAAATACACAAAACAATCAGAATTTTTTGTTTTTAGAACGACAGATTCTTATAAAAGGCTAGTAACAAACCAGACAAAAAAATAATAAAAAAAATAAATAAATAACGGAAGGAGTAGATTCTTCATATCTTTCTTCATTATAATAATCTCGACTATCTCTCGCACTGTTGTATACCCGATTCTTCATATCTTTCTTCATTTTCCATTTTCTTGGATGTACTGGAAACCTAACAATTTTGTAAACTCCGATTTGTGCGAGACAACACAACGGCCAGCTACATGATCAATGCAGAAGATGTGGTAAGTTGTATATCCCTAATAGAAACTCAACAATGATAACTAATGCGAGAACTTCTTGCAAGGTGCTTAAGAAAGTTGTCAACAATCATTTATATGGGTTTTCAAAAATATTCGTATCTGATAATCCGATTCGAAAAATTCGATATCCAAAATTATTACTTGATTATATCAGATATCCGAAATTATTAATTTTTTGTTTTTTTGTATTTTAACTTATTACTTGATTATATAAGGAAAATCTCGAGAAAAATCCCAATATTTTGGTTCAGTTTATGAAGAAGTCATAAATTTTATTTTGTTAACAAACAAATCTCGATTACTAGATAAAAAGTTCAAATCAACCCTTTTCTACCACTAAACTATTTTTTATCCGGTTACCTCCACAAAAGTTTCATTATTTTGGTCCAGTTTATTAAAAAGTCACAAATTTTTTATTTTATTTTAGCTATTTTACTCTTTCACAAACAAAATCTGGAAATTTCTTGGTTCAAAAAAATTATATGGTTCTAACCATTTTTTATACTTTCAATACCATTTTCTATCATGTAGATGGAAAATGACATTGTTGTCTATTGTACAAACTAATCACGACCAAGTCAACTATTTCATCACTTGATATAGTATAAAATCACAATGTTATTATATTAGTATGTTATCTAAAACGAAGCTTCATTTTAAACAGTTGGGTGCAAAACTTTCCATGGAGGATGACTTGATGCCTTGGAATACCCATTTATGACATTTTAGTAAAATATATTGTGATTTATATTTGTTGTAGCTCGTTTATATATAGTGTAGTAATATTAAATTGTAGAGTAGAGCTCCCATTTGTATGATATGTATTGTTTAGAGAGTAGATTTGGATATTCTACATGCTAAATTCGAGTTTTTCTTCCTTAACAATTGGTATTATAGTCGTGCCTTGAAGATTGAAGCGATTAGTTCAAGGATCGATCTTGATTTAACAAATTTTGTGCATTATTGATTCAATATTCGATAATTTTCTGTTGAGTCTCTTAAAATTTTCTTAGAATCATGTCCTTGTTTTTGATATATTGTTCATCGTATTTTGTTTTGGATCGGATCTGAAAATCACTACTAAATCCCAATGGTTAGCGCAAAAATCAATCTAATTCTTTTGATGCAATAGTTTGATTTGGTACTATTGATTTAGCCCAATAGTTCGATCTGTTACTATTCATCGAAACCTAATTTCAGAATCTAAATCAAATTAATTCTGTTATTTGGTTGTTCTCGTTTCAACATAAAAAAATTTCACTCGCTTATCCACGTCTTTGATTGAATCCAGACTTAACAATATTTTTGCAGCTCTGAAGTTCAAATTTATTGACATGTGAAGTAATTGATCCATGGATGAATTGTTCATATATGCTTACAATTTAAAGATAAAACCCGTGCTCTTTTCTAGCTAACGTATAACCCCACCAACCTACTATTGTATTGATCAACTTATCATTAGTTAATTGTTTCTTATATGAACATAACAGTTGGTTTCCTTTAACTTACTTTTAAGTAGATTGTAATAAGGATTTGGTTGAATATCTTATAATACTTGTAACATAAATTTGTGTGGGAAATAGATTATATGGACGATAATCAAAATGATGTTGTCGTCATTGTTTTGTGGCAAATAATTAGTTATAGAGGACCTTGATCCTTAGTTTTATGGAGTTTGATGACTGTTTATACCTATTCGTAACTTGAAATAAGAAATTTTAATATTTTTAGTGAAATAGTAAAAGAGTTGAAGTGAAAAAAATCGGAACATTTTCATAAACCGAGACAACATAATGAAACTTTTCTAGAGGTGATCGGGTAAAAAATAGTTTACTGGTAAAGAAAAGGGTTGATTTGAAAATTCTTTCCGGTAATCGAGATTTTTTTATTAACAAAATAAAATTTGGGGATTTTTTCATAAACTGAACCAGCGTATTAGTATTTTTTGGAGATATCCCATTATATAAATAGCGAAGATTTTAGGTTAAATAAATATGATTTTTAATTGTGTTACTAAATTTTATCTCATTATTAGTAAATGTTTTCATCATTTGCCAATATGAGACTAGCCTACTTGGTCGGATGTTTGTCTCTTATATTGGAGGTCACGAGTTCTACTTCTAGCATCGGCGAATTTAAATAATTTGGTGATACTAACTTCTAAACACAAATCAACCGTTCAAAAAAATGTTTCTGCCATTTAGCTTAGATCTAAATCATGGTTGCTATTAATATTTAGGTGAAATGACACAAAAGCCCTACGGTATTTCCAAAGTTGGTTGAATCAGCCCTTATTTTTTTATTTTTGGCTTTATATGGGCATACGATGGATTGTAACCTACCGTTTTAGTCCCTTTAACCTAAATCAGTCGGTGGAAGTGCCACATGTATACTTTTGTTCATCCACAACTATAACATACAACACAATTAATATAAGTCATTCCTATTTCAAGAAATCAATAATCCATATCAAAAAAACAAAACCCATATACTAAGTTTCGAAATTCATGTCATTCTTGTCAAATATAGAAAAATCGCCAATTGTTTCTACCCATACGTAGAATCAAATTACTTACTTCAACCTCGTGTTAATTGAAGGAAACAAATAACACACCATCCTTCCCACCTCCAACATAAATTTTTATGGGGTTTTCACCTCACTCTAGAACCCATGGATTGCCCATTCCCATTCTTAATCCATAATATGATCGATCGTACATCATAGTCTCTTCCACCCCACCTAATGTGTGTCATCACCTCTTAATCATGAACCTTACATAAACTATCTGAAATCTGTGTATTCTATTTCATCTTATGATGCTCCAGTTTCACTCGATTATAACTAAACTAGATGAATACACACACGTTGTGCAGAAACACCTATGTAGTTGAAATCTTTACAAATATATGTTTTCTTAAATATAACAATAACGTTTTGTTAAATTTGATATAATGATTTGTATAGTAAGTTGATATAATATATTGATTATTTTGAACTATATGATAATATATACATCTATTAAAACTGCATAATCTTAATCATTTGAATGACCTCTGTCACACCCCCTAACCAGAACGGCGGAATCGTTCGAGGGAAGATGACTTCATGTAGTATCGTAACATTTGAATACATAGTATAGAAAGTAAAACAACCATCATATATATAATTTAAAAGTTACATTATTGAATGATACTAGTTTCAAAACAAAGTACAATATATGACAAAATGAGTTTTAAACTAACGCCTTAATGTCACTTCTCCAAAAGCTGATGTTTACCTGTATTACTGAATCCCTGAGAAATACAAGTAGATTTGAAAGAGTAAATCAACATTTAAGCTGGTGAGTTCATAAGTATTTAATGTTAATGCTTGTATAAATTTGAATGAAATTGTTTGTAGATGTTTGAAAACTCCTAGAAAATCTCATATTTCATACTAGTATAAAAGTAGTCTTCTACCGAGACCCAACTGTTTTGAATGTTTGCTTCTAGAAATCCAATATTTTTCCATAAGCGTGTGGTAGTTTAAAAGTTCCAAAACTGTAATGCAATAGTGTTTTTCCTGCCTAGAATAGTAGATTTATGTATGTAAAAAATCACTAAGGCATTTGATAACCCCATAAATCAATGTGTTTTTAATACTCCATGTGAGTTTTGTAACCATGTTATTGACCCAGACTGCCTGTAACAACGTTCTTCAGGCATTGGAATGTTATGACATTTGTCACCCCAGACATGCGGGTCTAACTGTAGCTAATGGTTTAGGTGCAGGATTGTTAATCCCATATAGATCTATACACAAGTATCACGCTCTCCCTACAAGAGATTATGGTATATAATACAAGGCTTTAACTGCATACTTGAAAGTACGTGAAGTTTGAATATCTCACAAAACTTAGTATCAAATAGATTTACGTATGAAAAGTCCATTTGTTCTTGTATATGAAAGTATTTCCTTGATATAGTACTTATAGTATGTAAAATCTCATGAATATCTACTAAACTATACCTATTATAATTTTTCCAAATGTATGATTCGTTTGTATGATAAACCCTAGTGTAGTGTCGACTTTGTATGTAAAGTATAACATTTGTAATAACATTATTGAACATTTATACTTAAAATATAAATAAAGTGTTTGATATTTATATAACAACATGTTTCATTCCAAAAGGACAAAGTGTTATCGTGATATGTTGTATGAGAACGTTTTCGTATGATTGTTATAAATCACATATGATTTATTATATAACAAAAAAGTATAGCAAAAGTTTGATTTTTTTCATACGAGGATAACCGTGTGTGTACTTGTATCCCCCCCTAAAAGTGTATAAAAGCATTTACAAAACATTTGAAAACGTAGTTATATGGGTATGAACTCACTTGATAGATTGAAGATGGTGAGACGAAAACCGAGCATAACTTCGACTTGAGAAAGTGGATCTCTCGGGATTCTCGAGAATCTCGGGAGTGTAAAACCATTCTTCAGAACTTGGATATGAAAACCGGGGCTTCGGGA